TCCAAGTTCTGGATATCCAACCCACCTTGGTCCTTTGGTTGGCAAACTTTGGCCCATTTGACCAGCCTATATTTTATTGCTAATAAAATCAACTGGCAGTAATCCTTCGACCCCAGACTTGACATTTCTATTCAACGCATTTAACTCACTATCCGGTTCACATCTGCATCCTTATTAGCCCTCTCTCTCTCTCTCTCTCTCTCTCTCTGCGCCTCCCCAGATCTCCTCCCTCGTCTTCTCCCTTGCCATCCGATCTCCTCCTTACCTCGCCTCGGTGCATGCGCTCCTCCCCTACCCTCTGATCTCCTCCTTACCTCACCCCGGTGCGTGCGGTGGCAGTGACCCGGCCGTGTACGCTGCCGATAGCGACGGCGCCAGAATGGGCCCAGCTTAGGTGATGTGGCTCGGCAGTGATAGGCCATAGCGCGGTCGTGCGCGGTGGGCACGAGGTGGGTATAGCTGGCAGCACCAGCACGAGCGGCGCTGGTGTTTTCTTTTTTTCTCTTTTGTTTTTTTATTTCTTTTTTTGTGAAAATGAGCATCAATATCGGGTGAGCAACTGGTAGTGAAAATAGGCCTATCACTGCCGATTGCCCACTAATAAATCAATATCCAATAGTGAGAGGCTATTTGGAACCGATAGTGAAAATAGCTTCTAGAGAGTACGTAGTGCGCTATATATATTCTGAAATGGACTTTCTCTATTGCAAATGGTAAGTTATTCTAGTTTTTTTTGTTATATAGGGCTTGATTAGTTTACGGCCAAATTTGCCATGCCAAGGATTTAACAAGCCAAAGTCGTTGGATAAAAATTTTGATATGGATTTGGCAAGCCAAATGTGAGAGGTTGCCAAGTTTTGGTAGCAAATTAAACAATAGCCAAAATCATGTGTCTTGCCAAATCTTCTGCCTGGCATATTTTGAAAGCCAACCAATCAGACCTATAATTTTTACTACATACCTAGATATATACATTATATTTAGATATATAGAAAAGCCACAGTCACTTACGAACGGAAAGGAGTGATTCAGACACAAATTTTAATTATTCAGTAGGAACGTGACTTGATCCTATCCGCTTAATCTCATCGATCGGAAGAACAAAAGCGCTAAAACTTCTTTTCTGGATTGTTTTCTAGGTACTTTGAAACGGGGCATGTAGCCTTAGATTCACAGTATGTTCATTAGTTATTCGTCGTCCTATACCGCTATACGCATATACTCCTACTTTATTATTGTTTCGATCATATATATATATATTGTCATCAAGCCATCGGTCAGATATTGCCACCATCACACAGTCATCATTTAGACGTACAGCCGTACAGTACAGGCATCCACCAGTGCATTCGTATATATGTCATCGTCGTATAGCTGCACTTCTTCACTACCAGCCTACGATTCATTAGATGTAGCTAGCTGCAAGTCCTGCAACACCAGCACCGCAACTTACGCTGCAAGAAGAGAGATGAGCTTAGCTTTGCTGTACTACGTACGTACTCCGTATTGCCCTAGGTTACGTTCTCTCTAGCTGCTACGCTCGCGTGTGAGATAGAGATACACAGATGCTGACAGACTAATATAACGTGCACGTACATGTGCTTCCATCCGGATCCCTGGATACCAGCACGTACGTACGCATGATATTTGAATCCGATATCTTTTGCTTGGCCTAGCTTCTTTAATTGTCGCAGCAACGTATGTACTCCTATATCCTACTACTTCCCGTTGCTCCATGCATGCACAGGACCGAGAGAGCTGGTACTGGGAGACAAGAAGGAACGATCTTTTTATTTTGCTACAAAAGAGGCAGAATCTTGGCAGGGTTTTTTTTTTGTCACACTATGATGTTGGACCTGTGGATTGTGCAAGTCCTGCAGGCAATCCTTCGGCACATGACTATACCTCTGTCTGATTCCCAGCAGGAGCCTGGACCAGTGCCGGCCGAGGGCCCAAGCCGAGGAGGGGCAAAGCCTAGGTATATAAAATCTCTAGGTTCTATAGTCTATTAGACATTAATAAACTAATAAGAAAAGAGACATAGAACTGACTAGGTGGCCCCAAAAGATAACATATGCATTTTTTTTCTAGTTTCTTTTCTCCACGACCCTCGGGTAGAGAGGAGGCGAGGAGTCATGCTGCACACAGCACACTCTGAACGTGAGTTCGCGACGTGTGCCTTACACACACGGAGCTGGCGAGCCGCGCCACCACGAAGAGCTAGACTACCGAAGACACGAACACGGCGCACGAGGACAGTGACCAGGCAGGGCTCCACAACGACGACATCTTAGATTCTTGGCTTCTTACGAATTGCGATCACCAATCAGTTGTTTAGGCCCAAGGTATTTTTTTCCTTTTTATTTTTAATCTAAATTAATTATTTGTATAGTATTCCAAACTTCTAATACTTTGTACCCATATAGTCATATTTTTCTTTAAATTTAGGTGTTAGAATTTTAGAATGTTACCTAAGAAACATTTGTTATGGGTGAGAAAAGAAAACGAATATATTACTTTTTTAATCTACATTGTTCCTCGATAATTATCATACATCTACAAATATATTGCTTAATCTACATTGTTCCTCGATAATTATCAGACATATTAAATTAAAAATATGTTATTAAATTTGCTTTTGTTTTGCAAGTAAAATTAGTGTCTATATATTATAAGATTTTATACATAGTCAAGAGGGCCGTTGCGATGAAATCTTGCCCCTTAAAAATCCTACGACCGGCACTGGCCTGGAATTGGAGATGGCAGGTTTGTGCGTGTCTGACACGAACGAGATGGCAGCGCTTTACTGCCCTCCGTCGTCCATAAAAGATACAATTCCTTCTTCCGTTCTGAAATAATTCAATTTATAGAGTTGTCTAAACTCAAGCTTTATATTTAACCAAATTTATAAAAATAAGCATAAATATTTATAAATCCAACAAATTTGATGTCATAAACCTTCACGCTCTTTTCTATAAATTCGATTAAATTTTAAAAAGTTTAACTTAAAACAACTTTAAAATCTGATTTATTCGAGGACAAAGATAGTATTAAGTTAAAGTATCTTAAATTTGACTAACTATATAAAAAATATCAATATTTATGATATCAAATAAGTATTATTAGTTTGTTATAAGATATATTTTTATAGTATACCTATTTCTATTTGGTGCTATAATTAATATTTTTACCTTTATATTTGGTCAAATTTTAGATACTTTAACAAAGAATGCATTTAGAATTGCATTTTTTCAGACATAGGTAGTATCTCATCTTAAATAAATAGTATAATATAATAGATTCTATGTGTCTTTAGTCCAAATATACTTGTTTGTTCAAGCTTTTAGATGACATGGTGGATATATGTCCATCCCATGGATAGCGAGATGCCAAGATGATCAAGCTTTTGTTGACTTGGTTCTAGCATGATTTGAACTAACCAAGGTGTCGAATTCGTGTGTATTGTGCAACATGTCTCTTGGATTGTGAATGTGCTGGTGTTAAGTGTATCAAGGTAGTCAACGGCAACGGAGAAGACAAAGCGAGGGGTTCGGGTCGATGGACTGTGGGCGGTGACGACCGAATACAAAGGTGACCGATCGAGAAAACAAGAGTCCAAAGGGCGGATCAAGGATGTCGAGCAATTGGCGGACGAGCGTGAGCACATGTGAGAAGGTAATGAAAAAGGTGTTGGTCGAAGTTAAGGCATGGGTTGGACCAAGTCAAGGCGAGGCGTTGCAAGCACTTGGTGGACCTCCGGTCCAAGGACATTGAGGACACGCGTCGACATCGAAGGAATTGCATACCGGCTACGCGACCCGGGAGGGTTTGCTGGTTCCGGTCTCAAAATTGTGGGCGAAGTGGTTTTCGTGTTTGGGCCTCAAGCCTCAGGGGATGACGATCTCAGGACAACATATGGTGTCATTGGACAGCTTGCATCAAGGCGAAACAACTTCATGAAGGTCACATGGTCGTCCGAGGCTTTGAAGGCTGTCTGAATCACGTTGCCCCTGTCTAGTGGCCAAGTGGTTCCTGTCTAAATGTAGGGGCATTCTTGGCATATGTAATATCCCTTATAAAAAAGAGAAGTGACTACCATAAGAGAAATATTCTTTCAACCCCATCCATTTTATAGGGTTAGCCAAGGGCTCAAGTGCTAAACAAGTGATAGTCACCTCTTAATCTTTTTCTTCACACATGGATTCAAATTTCATAATTTTTGGAGTTCGTTCGAATGGATTTTTCCGTTCTCCAAAACTCCCTCGGGCTCAACTCTGTGAAGAACCCATTCTTTACTTGTTAGCTTTCGCACCTTCCTAGCCTCATCCCTAATGTCAGTAGGTACGTTGTTACTATGTGATATTGGAGTGAGCTGGAAGAGAGAGGAGTCTTTGGTTGGAATTGGGATATAGGACAAGTTCTTCCTCGGGTGAAGAATTTTTATCGTGTCATGACCTGGCTTTGCACTTGTGTTTAGCATACGCATCATGTGCATTTCCATCACTGATGTTCATGTTTTGGAAAACTAGCACCACAAAACTGCTTTGTTCCAGGGTATGTTGTGCCTTGACTGAAGAGTACCGGTGTAACGCCGTGCCTCAGCTCACATTGTAGGATACTAGGGGCACGCGGGCCTAGCCGCTCTCCACCAATCAGCCCAATTCTGTTGCGTGTACTGGGTCTTGGGCCGCGGCTCCCTCTTTCCCACTGCCCACCCGCACCAGACTACCAGAGCGCGAGCTCCATACGCCAGACAGACAGTTTGTCCATTACGCCTCACATGTCACACGGTCACGTCTCCCACCCCCGCTTGCTATGCTATGCTACGGAGTACGGACCTAGTACACTCGGTTCACTGTCACAAGCATCCGCGAAACCCGTGCACGTCTCAACGAAGAGAAGTGTGTTTTATTCCTCAATACAAATGTAACAACAGTCTATGTACATTGCAGGCTACAGGCCTACTACACCACCGAAAGAATCGCCACCGGCCGTCACCATCAAGACTCTGCCACCGCGTTCTGCCCGGCCTCCTGTTCTTCTTCCGACACCGCCAGAACGTTTTGGTCGATGAAGGTGAACAGCGCGAGCCCCGCGGCCCACACGTCGTCGTCCATCACACACTCCTCCGGCGAGTGGCTGATGCCGCCGCGGCACCGCACGAACAGCATCCCGATCTGCGACCACACACAATCCGGAGCGTCAGCGAGCTGAGCTGAACTTCACTCGTTCACACGCAGGCACGCACGCGCGCAGGCTTCGTCTTCTTACCTTGGTGAGCCATGCCATCGCCATCGCGTCGTGCCCAGCGCCGCTCATCAGCACGGGCGTCTCGCCGGCCGCCGCCACGGTGCGCCCCGGCATCGCCGACACGGTCGACCGCGCCGCGCGCTTCAGCTGGGACGTTAGCTCCTGGTCACAGTGCGTCGCCGCCGCCGAGTGCTGGTGCCAAACGATACCAAGGTCAGAGTGCCTCAATTCGGCAGCACAAATTCTACACCGGCAGATATCATGAACCATCATGACACGAAGAATGCTGATTCAGTACTCCTTCTCACCTTATGCTCGACTTTGCAATCGACCAGTCTGTCGTCGCATTTCTGGAGAACCAGCCTCGAGAAGCTCGTGACGATCGTCTCCCTCGCTTGGTCGTCCATCGCGCGGATGTCCACCGTGAAGTTCACCTGTCGCAGGGCACGGCTCCAAGGTTCAGCTGACTGATCCGAGCCACCAGTTCATCAGCCGGGCCGAGAGATGAATCATGCCTGGCAAAAGCTTACCTGGCCCGGAATCACGTTGCTCGCGCTTGGCCACGTATTCAGCTCGCCGACGGTGCACACCAGGCCGGCCAGGGACTCCTCGGTGAAGCAGTTGCACTCCTCGTCGTAGGTCAGCAACTTGTTGGGCTCTTTGCAGAGGCGCTCCAGAGTCACAACAAGCTCTGCAGCTGCAACCATCGGATCACGGCGCAATTTCATTGGAACTGTGCCAGCATGCCCTTGCGAACCATCTACTATTACCTAGAAAAACAAAAACAAAGCGCTGTAACTACTTTCCTTTTCACTTGAAAGTTGGTATATAACTATATATACGGGACTTGGAAGCAACCCAGAATTGGCAATCACAGTTGTCGCAAGCAGCTTGAATATTTAAATGTCAATGTTAAACTGAACAATCTTGGTGACACCAATGCCTGTCTTCCTGAACATTAACTAAGACTGGTTCTTGCATCAAAGATGACACATGACATAGGTGTACCATTTATTGAATGAGATGGATGTTGACTAATACCCCAGGTGTTTCTCTGATTGATTGTTTATCCATTACATGTATACTTGGTGACAGCAATGCCTGTCTTCCTGAACATTAACTAAGACTGGTTCTTGCATCAAAGATGACACATGACATAGGTGTACCATTTATTGAATGAGATGCATGTTGACTACCCCAGGTGTTTCTCTGATTGACTGTTTATCCATTACATGCATACTTGATTAACTTATATTTACCACTCATACTCTTTTTTAAGAGAACACTCATAACTTTTATCTAAAAAAAGAGAACACTCCTAACTATCTTAAATTATTTGATTGATTACCTGTTGACTGCTGTACTGTCAACTTATGGTTATCTAATATAGTTGGTACTTCTTTTTTCTCAGACACATATAGTTGGCTCTGATACTGATTGTTTTAAGGAAAAAAATGACCATAAGCTAGGGAGCCATGCAGCTAGACCATATTTTAGTTTTTGGTTGATGTAGTTCTTGAATAGCATTTACTTTCACAAGAATAACAGAGAACTCTGATGCACCTTTAATCGTGTCTGTCCTGCAATTCCTTTTACAACACCAAGTGGATAACGAAGGGCTTCCAGGACAGGGCCTTGCTCCAGGTGTACCTACAATTTTAAAAATTATAAGTATTGTTTTTTTTTATGAAAGTATTGTTTTCTGTATTACCAGGGGACTACATGAAAAAGGCATACAAAGACTTCATACCTCGACATAACTCCCCACAGACTCTGGGTTGTACTTGGCTTGACTAATAGCAGTAGAGGTAGCCTCAAAAGAATTCATTTTCAGAACATCTTGTACTGTAGTACCACTGATGAAACTCAATACAACAAATGAACTGCATCAGAGACAGTTCTGTAAAATAGTTTGGTTGGTTTACGCGAAAAAGACAACACCTCTTGTCTGATACTTGTAAAATTGATTCAGGTAGTGTACCAGCTACAGCAGCGCTTCCCAGAAAAGTTGTCTGGAATCTGACGCCCTCCTCATCGCTGAATGCAATGACCTAAGCTTCAACAGCGAAAAATGAGTGCTAGGCTCCTCCATGATGATATTTCCAGATGACGATAATGCAAACTAACTAATGCTGTTTCATAATTTGATATACCCTTCAAGCCATTTTAGCTTAAAGCATTGAATCCACACAGTGAAGAATAAATGATGATTTGATTCAAACCAAAACATGCTGACCTTGATCTATTGATGATGTCAATGCATTTGTTTTGTGTGACTCAAATGCATGACACCACCTGACAGCTTGTGCTTTTTGATTATCAGGATTGCCAGAATAACAAAAGATGAGCCGTGCATAGAATCTTTTCAAGATCAGTGGGAGGTACGTCGAACTGATTAAAGACACATTATAAAACTAGATTCCTCCTGGTTTCTATATAGTCTTTCCTGATTATATTCTGATAGTACCTTGCAACTTAGCTATCCAATCAGCATATCAAAGTATAATATATAATTAATTGAGTAAAATATAATAACCCTGCACCTGCTAGTGACAATAAAACTATGTGAAATATTCCGATCAAACATCTAAAAGAGTAGATAGACACAAGACACAAACAAGATCAATGTAGATAAGTGTCGGATCTACAGGACGCATGTGGCTCATACTGCCACTTCTAGAGAGTGAGAATAGTATAAGGCCATTCACAAGTTGTGGTGGAGCAAAGGAACACGTTAAGATATGATACGATAGTAACATCAGTACTATACTGGAAACACTAGAGAATTCTCTAACCTCCACTGGTCTCGATAGCCTCTGGAGTTTCCCAGTAACTTTCAAAACCTTCAGTGCTGAGATTGCACAAATAATACCCAAAGATCCATCATACATCCCAGCATCAACGACAGTATCCTGTTTACGCAAAGGGGGAAAAAGTATCAATTAGTGGCTTATTGCTATATTGGGTTGCCATCAAAATACTGAAATAACAGAATAGTAATACAAAGGAAAATAGCCTCACCATATGAGATCCAATTAATAAGGCCTCTTTGGTAGAATTTGTCGGCTCAAATCGACCGTGAATATTCCCCATTTGATCAACCCACCTTCACGTTGAACAGAGATGGGTAAGTTAGTCAAGAGCAAAGGGTGAGAAAACAACTGCAAGCAAAAACACGTACGTCGTAAGTCCAGCATCTTTCATCCAGCTGATGATGACAGCAGTGGCTCTGATAGAAGCTGGACTCAGAAACGTCCTTTCAAGGTAGCCCTCCCCATCAGATATCTGGTTCGAATCAACGCCGTGTCAAAGACTTGCAGACGCACAGCTCAAATGTTAAACTTGATAACCAAAGGACAACTTGGAAGAAAACGGGCCAAATCCTCGAACCCAGAAATCGCTCATATCGGGTAATTGAGAATTCAGGTAAGCAACGTGAACATTTAGCAACCTCTATGGCGTAACCGCGTAAGGAACTAAGGTTATCTATCCCAGAAATCAAGGCATGGATATAATATAGAATCAGAACCCAGTAAAAAGATGAACACTTGATGGAACATAATTCGTTACAAGATGAAATACTCATCTTCTCCTGAGGGAAAAAGCAAGCATCGTCGGCTCATGCTCCCGTTCTTATTATTAAGTGATATTTACCGTTCCTACGGTGCAGAATCTGAGGATTTAGAGAAAAGGCTAAGAGTGGTGCAATCTGGAGCAGAGCTCCCCAAATTAAGGGGGTGTTTGAGACTACTCCACAGCCTCCACCGTGGAGCAGCTCCACAAAACGAGTCTGTGGAGCACCCCTCTACGTACAACTCCACCATTTTTTCTCAAACAGAGTGCACGGAGTAGCTAAAAAGACGTGGAGCGGAGCTTTAAAAACTTGAGCGGAGCATTTCCAAACACCCATAAAATCTCTTGAGTATTTTGGCCGCAGAAATCTTAATACTATATACTTGCAAGTGTGAGAACATGCAACCGATAGATAAACAGAACACGACTGAAGTGCATCTTATCCGGTCTGGCAAGTAACAAACGGCCCAAAACAACCTAACAAGATTCCGCACCCCCGCTGGAAAAGCGGATCGCGAGAAGGTGAATATTCGAGGAGCTAGCCAGGAACAAATCAAAGGATTATTGGAGGGGCCTGACCTTGCCCAGCTCCTTGAGCCTCAGCACGGTCTCGTCCCTGAGAATCTCCCTGTACAGGCCATCGCCTCCTCCCAGCTCCGGCAGTCCATCTAATCAGTTTTTGGCAAAAACCACCGGTGAGGAAACCCAAGATAACGAAGGCGGACGGGTGATGCAGGGGCGACGGAATGAAGCACCCACCGGCGGTGGCGGAGATTGGAAGCGGGGTGAGGAGGACGGAGACGGAGACGACGAGGATGAGGAGGGGAGACGGGTGGTGGCGCTGGCGCAGGGGGCGGGAGGAGGAAGGAGCCATTGAATTGAGCCGCGCGCGGCGCCGACCGAGGATGTGTGGCCGCTGTGGGTGGTGGTTGCCTGGCTCCTTCCTCCCTTCTCCCACAGGGCGCAAGCTGGCTGCTTTTATAAGTGGAGAGCCGCTTTGGGTCTTGTGGGCTCAGTTGCTCACGGTACACATTTTGTGCTAACCTTTTTTTTTTTATGTTAATTGTGCTAACTTGATTCACCGTCGTCATTGCTGCCACCACAGCGTACTCCCTCAATCCCATAACAAGAATTAACTCTAGTTGTCTTTTTCTACTTTCTCTATACTCAAGGTGCAACGATTACATCATAAAGCAACTTTTTATTAGGCTATATATCTAATTTTACATTAATATTGATCTCTTCGCAACTTCACCAAAACACTAGAAGTACTCTTATGTTGGGACGTGCGCCAACGCCCCCGCCCCTGCTTCCATCCGCGCCATGACTGGAGAAGGAGGAGGCCGCCATAGATGAATTCGCCCAAAAAAAAAGAGCTATCCAAACACCACTTGAGCATGTTTGAATGAGATTCTAAATTCTAGATTTTAGATTAAAAAAATAATCTCTGATGTTTCTTGGATCCCATACATGTGTGTTAGAATCCTCTAAGATCCTAGTGAGTTTGGATGTGATTCTAGGATTTTTAAGTTTTTTTTTCTATTCGAATTCTTAAAATCCACGTGGACCAAAAGTACTGTACTAACAGGCGCGGCACTCCTGCCATTGTACCATCACCGCTACACCCTACCCGGTGCCCTGTGTGTCATCTGATGTTGGCGTCCCATTTGGCAAAGCAAGGCAGCCCGTTGGTCACACGGCCCGTCGTCGTCGCCCCCGTCGGGCCCTCTTTGGATACGGGCAGGCAGGCAGTCAGGTGCAGTGCATGGAATGCATGCGCACTCACGGGGCAAGACAGGAAGAAAAAGCAAGAATCATGCACGTCACAAGTGCGGAAAGGCTCGTCGGGGCCGGCAGAGAAAGGAGTGGCGCAGAGAATCTGATGGTTTAAAGGCTCTGGTACCAAACTCTCGGCTCTGCTCACCGACGAGGAATCTGGAATCCAGCGAGCCACCAACTAGCCCGCGCAACGAGGTGGCTGGCTGGGCCCGGGCCGTCGCTGACTCGCGAGGCCGGTAGGATGGCATGGCGCGAAGCAAAGAGTAGGCCCGCCTTTGCACTGCCTGACACTGACGTGCGACTGCGACGGGCATGGACGTGTTGGAGTTGGATTCCGCCGCTGCTATGCGTGCGTTCTGCCGTATTCTGCTTCCACCTTCCTGCGCCCAAAGTTGAGAGCTCACGGTCCGCGACCGTGACGCCACACGACACGACCCTGGCGCCATCCTGTGCGTCGCGACTCGCGAGGGTGCGGAGGAAGACGCATTCGCATGAGCCCCGGTTCCGTGGGTTGCACTCTCACTTGCATGCATGCCTGTTTAATTCCTGGCCGCCGGATACCACCGGGCGCTCTATGCGTGACAACAGACGTGAGCGATCGAGAAAGGGAGGCGGCGACTGCTTACTCCGTAGTACTATATGCATGCCATGGCCACACCTGATCGTCGGACTGACACTGACGACACGTCACTGGCTTGGGAATGATTAGGCGCTCTTGCCAGTGGATCCTCCACTAAGGCTGTGTTTAGTTCGCGAAATAAATTTGTTTGATGTCACATTAGATGTTTCGGGGATGTTGGAAGGGGTTTTCGGATACTAATAAAAAAACTAATTACATAACTCGCCTGGAAACCGCGAGACGAATTTATTAAGCCTAATTAATCCATCATTAGCGCATGTTAGTACTGTAGCACTTATGTCTAATCATGGACTGATTAGTCTTAAAACATTTGTCTCGTGATTTCCAACCAAACTGTGCAATTAGTTTTTTTTTTGTCTATATTTAATACTCCGTACATGTGCCACAAGATTCGATGTGATAGTTTGGGGTGAAAATTTTTAGGAACTAAAACAGGCCTAAGATAGTAGGAGTATCACCGGTCACTGATACTCAGCTTTGTGATTAGTTTACCTGTCTGCAGTCTGTTGATCGCCATGTCCCCCTGATCCTGCTAATAATGCATGCTCTGTCGGCACGTACGCACGTCACCGCTAGAATAGAATCCGGTTAAAGAATGTGACGAGACACGAGAGACATGTGATACTCGAGTAGGTATGTTGCATATATAATATAATTTCAGCTCGCGTCAGGATCTGGACTGCTTAAGCTGTCAAGTAATCAAAAGCGTCGTAAGATGATTCCACGTAGGAATGGCACGGGGCATGGAGGACAGCAGTGGTGCTGGTGCGCCCCACGCAGTCCCGCAGCAGCTCGATTGATCCGTCTCGTTTGTGTTAATTATTAATGTCCTCTAATCTACCATAAGAAATCGAGAACTCGAATCTATTGGAAATGAGGGACTCAAATTTGAGGTAGAATGATGCTTTAGGGTGCCACTAAATTTAGGATGTTGGATATGAGTGCTATTGGAGATTTTTTTTTCTCTGCATAAACCTTTATTTTTGCCTGAGGTGTTGAATAGAGGCGTTTTTGGGAGACACTCTGGAATTTGTTGATGACAACTATACGAATTTCGTACCAGGGGCCCACGGAGAGAGGACAACTACAATCAAATAAATAAACACAACGTATTTGCAACGGCTAGTTTCAAGTAAAAAATCTAAATGATACATTGCAAAATACTAGCTGCTCATGCTATTCGTGCAGGCATCCTTACTAGGGATGCAAAATCAATAATCCTTGCTTCTTTAGTCAGAAAGAAAGTTCCGAATGAAAAGAACTTAGATAATTAGTGGTTAACCAGCAAATGGTTCCTTTTTAAACAAGGAATACACTAGCAAACCGGTAGTGGGCCTGGAGTCCTTCTTCCTTCATTCTTGTATGGGTTTGGGCGTTTGGACCAATATGTTACGGGCCACGGGGTACGGGCCGTGAGCCCACCCTCGTCCCAAAACTTCCCGATGACAAAACGATCGAGCAGCTTACCCTGCACAGACGCCGCCTGTGGGACAGTGGGAGACGTGTGGGGCGACGCGTGCCGGGGAGAACGACGCGGCTGGAGCCACTGGCCACGCCGTAGCGCCAGCTACGTGCGATGGCAATGGCAGGGCGCTGGGAGCCTGGGACGGCAGCACGGACGCACGAACTTCCCCGCCCGATCTCGGGGCTCGGGCCAGGCTGGGACGGTTCGCCTTCTTCGTTCGACTGGTGGCGCCTGCAAAACCCGTGAGCCGGCACCGGGGCTGTCAGGTCTCTTTTGGCATAAATGCACAATCCATTGGCAGAACGCCAAATACCAAACTCGCGGGTGATGGCAACGGTACCCGAAACCCGAGTACCCGACGGGTTTTACCCGATAAGAAGGCGGATATGGAAGACATTTTGCACCCGCGGGTACGTTATTGGACGAATTCTTGTACCCATCGGGTATGCGGGTACGGGTGTGGATGTATACTACCCATACCCGCATACCAATGGGTAAAAAAACCCGCATAAATAATATCCAACCTCTACAATTTTAGCTCATATAAGCATATAGCCCATATTTGGCCCATATAAGCATATCATATATATTCCAGAACTCCCTCAAGCCCTAATCCTCATCCTCACTCCACTCCACCAGCCCATATTTCTGTTTTGCTGCTCTATTGTTGATTTGTTTTGCTGGAAGCTATTATCGGTCTGTTCGTTTGGTTGTGGCTTGTCGTAAACGATCGTAAATTTTCAGCCGAAACAGTATTTTTCTCTCACACAAACCAGCCAGCAGTACTTCTTCACGAACCAGCAACGATACGAACCAGCCAACCGAACAAGCTGTATATTTTGGTGTGTGGACTCGGGTATATTGTCGGGTAAGAATTACCCGTCGGGTGCGGGTATGGAATGAATTTTCTACCCGCCTGCAGGTACGGGTAACTCGACGGGTAAAATTTTGATCTGGCGGGTGCAGGTACGGGTGGCCAGTACCCATCGGGTACGCACCCGTTGCCATCTTGCCACAGGCCACAAGAAGTGCATAATCGTTTGCTAAAACTAGCATTTCGTTTCTCATATCATTTCCAGCCCAATAAGTCGGTACCAATCATTTCTCCCGAGTTCCATATTACAGCGCGCGAGAGAGATTTACAATTACGAGATTGAATATACCAAGGTACCATCGTATCTCTAAATCTAATAATAAAGAGGCAAAATCGTATCTCTAAATCTAATAATAAAGAAGCAAAATTTCTAATCATTTTTTTATCCATTTATTTTTTTCGTCCACCTTCCTCTAACCACCGGACAATGGAGAGTTTCTTTCCGTCCGCACTTTTATATATATATATATATATATATATATATATATATCACATGCTTATACGAATTAGAATATGTCTTGTCTAGCACGATACGAAACCCGATTCCAAAATATATTGAATCGTGCATGTGACCTAGATTCATAAGTCGTGCTCATATGCTCGTCCATCAACCTCGTTATACTACATTGTTAATTACTGTCAGCGCAAATAGACGGCCTGTTCGTTTGGTCGTAAACGATCATAAATTTTTAGCCAGAACAGTATTTTTCTCTCACACTAAACCAGCCAGCAGTAATAATCCACGATCGTATACGATCATATCAGCACCAGCCGAACAGGCTGATGAGTGTGTCTCTCGTTTCGTGCCCATCCGTTCATTTTTCCTCTATTTTTTTAGTCTGTCTACTACACAACCACGTGTTTTATGTAGTTTCAACACATGAATTTTTTTGCACCATAGGATTAAGATCAACAGCCTCCACCCTTCTTCTACCTCCATCCTCCAACCTCCACAGATCACAGATTATAATTTTTTTTCTATAGAAAGACAAATCACACCTCCACCGCCGCCGCCACTTCTGATATGATGATCGATATCCTTCCATTCATCCATTGGTGCTTTTCAGACAGTTGGTGTTGGTTTCCACCTTCCACTGGCTGGTACGACAGGCTGTGTAGACGGACATTGTTCTTTTACGCTGGAACTGGTGCAACGGCCAGCGGCCGGCTGCATCGACCATGCGGTATCGCGAGCAGACTAGTGCAACTGGGTTCCCCCGTTGCCGGATCATGCATGTCAGTGCGGCGGTGACAACCAGCAGCCTGTTCGTGAGGTCGTATCGTATCGTGGATTATTTACTGCTGGCTAGTTTGGTGTGGGAGAAAAACACTGTTCCCGACTGAAAATTTACGATCGTTTACGAGCAAGCGAACAAGCTGTTGACAAGTGCGCCCGAAACAATGAAAAGATCGATCAAGCTACAGCCATTGCATGCAGCCATGCCATAGGCAATAGCTAGCAGCGATACAACGTGAGAAAGAGAGAGAGGGAGAGAGAAAAAAAAAATCTATGTATTTTTTTTCGCTAAAACACATGTGTCCTGTATAGCATTTCTAATTTTTTTTGTTTCCTATTCTGTACTGTATCAATCCTGGTTGTTCTTTTTTTTCTTTATTTTTTAAAAATCTATTTCCGTTTCCTGTTTTTCCTTTTGCCTTTGTTTTTCTTCACGTTGTGTTTCCGTTTCTTTTTTCGCGTCTTTACATCTGTTCCGTTTCCTTTTTGTTTGCGTCTTTTTGTTCTTTTTGTCCACGTTAGTTTTTTTTTTGTTTGGTTTTGTCCGAATTTCTACCGTACTAACTTTTTCTATTTTTTCATAATAAATATTAAAAATAAGAAAAATAATACTATGGATCTTTGAACTCGGACCTCTTTCCTATGAAAAATAAAGATTTTCATTAATGCAATTTTGTTGATTAGGAAAAAAATTCTTTTATTACTAGCAAATCTTAACCAAATTGTCTAACCAATTAAACTGTGAGTTGCGTCTGCAGCTTGCTGTTTCCATTAGACACTGCTACAGTATTTTGCTCCGATTTTGTGCAGCAGCAGCCGCTGCTGGGCAGCACAGAAGTGCGGCCGAACAAATTGTTGTCGGTCTGTTCTAGATAAATTTATCTCTAAACTATACATATGTACCCATGTAATCCCCGATGAGAGTTATGATGCAGAAAATCAAGAGATGTCTCCCGTCATAATCGTCAGCGGACGGACAAGTACTTTGATTATGGGTCCACAAAGAAAGTCATGTAACTCGGTATTTAACTATATCAACGCATAAATAGTATAAAAATATATATGTGCTTTGTAACATAAATAAATCTATCAAGATTGTATTTTAAATTTGATGCAGACTTAATAGGGTATGTCATAAAATTACCAATATTAGCTTATATTATAGATGTTACTATCATCATAAAATAAATTATAACTTTAAATTTTATAGAATGATAAGACATAAATAATATGTACCATTTCAATAGTTGTTTTTCATGAAAAAATAATATTTCTCCCGTTACAACACACGAACATATTTGCTAGTCTAACTCTAATAGCCCAAAGTTAAAAAAAGAAAACTTGAGAAATGAGAAGGCTACCAAAAAAACAACCCACCAAAAATCTACAATTTACAGAAGGCACCATTTCCGATGCGATTTCCATTTCATTTCTGCAAAAAAACGGTTAAGGGAGCTATATATAGTATTCACAGTCACTCTACAGTTATCTGCAGCACAGTCGTCAGCCTGGGTTTTCTGTACCTCCTCAACAGTAGCGACGAGCACACAACGCTTACGGACGAGAAGGCCATGCAGGCGCCGGCGAGCCACGGCGGCATCTGCAGCCCGGTGAACGGGAACAGCGCGCCCGCGGCGATGGGGATGGCCACGACGTTGTAGGCAATCGCGAAGAAGTAGTTCCACCGGATCCGGCTGAACGTCTTCCTGGACAGGTCGATCGCGGTGATCACGTCTTCCAGGTTGTTCCGCACCAGCACGTAGTCCGCGGCCTCGATGGCAATGTCTGTTCCCCTGCCGATGGCCATCCCGACGTCGGCTGCTGCCAGGGCTGGGGAGTCGTTGATGCCGTCCCCAACCATGGCGACAGTGCTCCCGTCCTTCTGGAGGAGCGAACAACGTCAGCTTTTCCGGCTGGCATGACCTCTGCTCTCACGTCCTCAATACCAACCTGCCAAAGTACAATAGCACGAGCAAATCAAAACCAAAAGATAAGTTAACAAGTGAAACTTATGAACGAATAGATGGCAAAAGAAAGAAAAAACGACATGAAGACGAGCCTAACCTCTTTTGCAACAGCTTGCGCGGTCCTCCAATTATCCCCTGTGAGCATCACTGGATGAACACCCAACTTTTTTAGTCCTTCCACTACAACAGCAGCCTCCCTTTTCAGGGGATCGGTTATGCCCATCAAACCCACAAAATCACCATCATATGCCACAAGTATGCCTGTTTTTGCATTCGATTCCAGGTCTATCAAGAAAGTTTCTGCTTCTGGGGAAATGGTCACACCGTTTTCAGTCATCAAAGAACGGTTTCCAACCTGTCAATACATTCGTTTTAAAGATAAGAAAGGATTTATTCAGAGACAGTAAAACACATAGCCATATATAACAATATTTATAATGTGCTCTGGTACATTTCATAAGGAAAATTGTGACTGGGAACTGAAGTCTAAAAGCCTAAAAGATTTTATATATGACTACATAAGTGCTGGCTCTGGAGATATGAGAGACGATAATATGAGTGGATGGTCATGAATAAATGATTAGGACAGAATGTGGTATAAGGGCAGAAGGGAGGAATTAGCATTAGTGTGTACATCAAAAGGGGTATGAAAGCATGACGTTCACCTATGACTCACCAAAACATGCTTCCCGTTGATGGAGCACTGAACTCCGTTGCCAGGTACTGCGGAGAAGTCTTCAGCTTCAAGCAGCCACTGAGACAATACCTCGTCTTTTCGTTGCTCAATGCCATCTTTTGATGAAGGAAGCTTGCCAAAGAAATGGAAATGGAATGCATAGTCCAAAACAGCTTTGGCAAGAGGATGCTCACTGCTTGCCTGAGTACAGAGCAAAAACACAAAATATTAAGCACATTAACACAAAGTAGCAAGAGAGAGAGAGAGAGAAATACAAAACATGTCATATATTGGTTCCAATACAGCGTATAAAAGAACAGAAAATAACTATTTTTGAAACTCCTTGGTATTACTCAAAAGGAATCATTTTAGATCAAGTCAGACTCACCTCTGCTGATGCAACCAGTGTGAGGAAATCTCCTAGGTCCATTCCTGAGAAAACCTTTGCAGCTGTTACAACAGCCTTTCCTTGTGTTAGTGTCCCTGTTTTATCAAAAACCACATACTTTACATTTTGAGCTCTCTCCAAAGCATCTCCGCCTTTTACAAGTACTCCATGATTAGCCCCAATTCCAGTCGCCACCATCACAGCAGTTGGCGTTGCCAAACCAAGAGCACAAGGACAAGCAATCACCACAACAGATATGGCAAACATGAGAGAGAAGACAAAGCAATTGCTATTTTCAGCAACCCATGAATTTGGATACGCACCCAACCATCCACACAAAAACCTACAAAAGTAGCCAATGGGCAGGTGAGGAACTTGAACATATTAGCATCTCTCCAAATTTCACGGTACTTTTATTGAACTTACCACGCAGAAAATGTCACTATAGACAATGTGATGACAATTGGAACAAAAATGCTAGCCACCTGAAAAACGAAGGATATAATGTCACTATTATCATATCATGCATCTAAACTATGACGTGAAACTTTCAGTAAACATAAGGCTTTTTAGCATGTAAACTGGTAGGTTTGTACACATTAAGATAAGACCAGTACTGAGGAAAGAACAAAAAAAAAAAAAACAGAGAAGATGACACAAAATTGTCTAGCCATGACTATGACTGATCTTCAGCTGAATCACTAGCCTTTGCTCTTAGGATAACTAAAGGCAAATCCATGCCTGAAAGATTGGTACCATATTGCAACTGTAGACTGGATTTATTAAATATGTTACAACAAGTAGCAATAGAAGTAAATGAACATGTATTGCATAAGTTATGGTAGAGTAAATTATCATCCTCTAAAAGGTAACTAAAGGTTCAAGGAAAAAATCGCAATTAAAGGCCCTCTAAAACCCAAACAGATACAAAATGGGCATACAAATAGTGTCACATGCACTTCATTTCAACTGGCGAAAACAACATATCAGATAGATAAAAAAAGAGGCACTCACATAATCAGCGAATTTCTGAATAGGAGCTTTGGACATCTGAGCAGTTTCAACCAGAGAGATTATCTGACTCAAAACTGTACCAGATCCCACTTTTGTTGCTTGTATATGAAGGATACCATGTAAGTTTATTGTCCCCCCAATTACCACACTTGATACTTCTTTAGGGATGGGTGCTGATTCACCAGTTATCATACTTTCATTCACATGACTTGTTCCCCAAACGACAACACCATCAGCTGGAACCTTTGAACCAGGAAGCACTTTTAAGACATCACCAGGTTGGACCAACCGTGCATCAATCTCCCTCTCCCCAACATGTTTCCCTTCTGTATTTGAAATGATAAGTGAGAGTTTGTATATACAAAAATAATACAAGATTTTGCATTTTTTATATAACTGTGTAATTGTATATATGTCAAGGATAAAAAGTTTTACTGGAGACCTTTGTCTTTCAGAACCAAAACAGCAGTAGAAGGGACCAGTTCTACAAGCTTCTTGATAGCATCCGATGTCTTCCCTTTTGCAAGCACCTCGAGATACTTTCCGAACAACACAAATGTGATTATCATTGCACTTGTCTCAAAATATACGGGAGGATGATATCCAGTAAATGCTCCATATAGTAGTGCACAGACAGAGTATGCATATGATGCAGTGGTGCCAAGAACCACTAGCACATCCATGTTTGTAGAGCCATGCCTCACGGCCCTATAAGCCGCCACATAGAACCGTTTCCCGACAACAAACTGTACAATGCTTACCAATATCCACTTCAGCAAATCCCCCATGAGAAATGGTCCACAGTGCATGCTTAGTAGTGTACTAAGGAAAGGTATACTGGGGCAAACCATACGAATGAAAAATACAGGAATCTGGTGCAACAAAATAATTAGACAAGAGTCAGGGCCTCAGAGGGCAAGCAGCATCATACCACAACTTAAAAATATTAGGTGACAATAACTTTTTAAAATAACTAGTGAAAAATCTAACCCTGACGCTTGTGCCTCTAACACCTAATACATATTCCTTTTAGACCCTGCATTTTATCTCCTTTTTGCCCATTAGTCCTTAATTGTCAAATTCAATATGAATGCCACTTGAGATGTGAATATCCTCCTTTACTACTTTCCCAAACACTGAATTAGAGTAGCATTTTATTTCCTAAGGCATCTTGTCTTGCTGGGCCTCACATGCAAGCAAAAAGAAGTAACATATTATTTAAAATGCCAATGGACAGATAGGACCCATTGAGTTGGATGTCACAGGAGGGGCCATTTGGTCATAATTAAAAAAATTAATAAAAAATAATTAGGGTCTAATATTATGCTGCCTGCTGCAGATACATGCTATCAGCTCTTCCCTAGTGATAACATTAGCAAGGGTATCATCATTAAACATGCATTCTGCCTATTCTGTTGTCCTAAACTTCATGCTGCGAGGGAAAAAAATAAAGAGGTAAGAGAAAAACTTACGCTAAGGAACAAGCTAAAGCGGAGAAGGTTAAGCATTTTGGAGGCCTCCTGTGCATCATTTGAAGCCCCTCGAGTGTATGGATTCTGAACATGAGCTTTCAACCTCCCATTGCTTGCCATCTCAATTGTATCCACAATTGATCTCAGACCAACAGCTTCTGGATCGAATACAATCTCAACTTCCGAGAGGACATTATTTACACCAAATTGTCGCAAACCATCCATTTTCTTAAGAATATCATTTAATACTTCTACATCCTTCTCTGTGTGCAAACCAATGAGCCCCAGCAAAACCTTATCTTGCTCGGTACTCTGCAAGAATGCTGCTTCAAAACCAGCATCCTCGATGGCCTGAACAATTTCATCTTTGCTAATGGCAGAAGGAACATACTCAACTTCCCCTAATGAGGTTGCCAAGGCAACGACTGCTCCTTTAACACCAGGTAGCTTTTTTAAGATACCCTCAACAGAGTTTACACAATTGGCACATGTCATCCCCCCTATCCTGAATTGTGCTGATAAAGTCTTCTGTGATTTAGGCTGGGAGACAGCAGATTCAGGGATAATCTCTGCTTCAAATCCGGCATCTTCTATCGCTTCAATTATATCCTCTACCTGAAAACATAAGCTACCAGAATAAAGATGTGTCTATTGAAGTGACCCAAATAAGTTAATTGATTGGATGCGAAACCAAACACCTCTCAGGAGTTAGTCATCTAAACTGGAGAAGGCTTTAGTATATGTGGAAGAACATGCATGCAGATCACAGCACATGCATTGTTAGGTGCCTTGGCATTTTACCTTAAACGCGATGCAATAGGACTCAAAAGTCAAAAGCTGTGAGCCTAGTAAACATATTGGACATCATGATTAAAAGAAAACTAGAATAGCGGCATAGTTTAATAGATAATGTATATCTCCTACAATTTCCCACACGAATAGTGAACTCCATGGCTAAAATGGCTTCTCCATTAACAAAGACAAAATAAATTGAAAATGTAGGTCTCCTGTTGACATGTAGTGAAACAAAGTATGTAACAATGTTCACAAAAAAAAAGTATGTAACAATGTGTAAGCTACCGTACATAATCAGAGTATGGGACAGCAAAGAAGATTGCATGCTAATATAATATATCAGCTTTTAGTTCCCAAGTAATGGTGTATTTTGAAGAATTTAGTAATTATGCCAGGAGTAGTCCTACAAGAATATACAAAATTGCTTGGGTCCACGGCTGCAATTCTCCTTAACAGTCCACATTACCATATTTAGAGTGCCACAAAAGAATAATGCACGAAACACACTCAGCTTCACTGTTATCATAGCAAAGTAAAATCTCACCCCTTTTATTTTGTGCAACTTTCCAGAACCTAAAGTTGAGTTCGGCATTTCTTTCCCCATGAAAGACATTATCAGCAACTCATTAGCTCAACTACCAATCCAAAGTGACTGTAGTACACCAAGAACCCCATTTCCGCTGGTACCATGACTGATTGCAGCTGCGTGCCAGCCCTGAGCTTTCGATGCCCACAATGCACAGGTGATTGACAATCACGAGCTTCCAACGAAGCTACAGCTCACCCAATCACGAAAGCAAAAAGAGCAAAAACTTTGAGCATCGTAATAGCCAATCTTATAGCTCCTGATTTCAGAGTTTATACAGCATTTACTCCACCAACCAAATCAGAAGTCATTGAAACAGTACCACCCAAGCGATTCGCTCAAGTCAAGGCACCCTCAACTCAAGACAAAAAAATCCAACGTCCATATGCGATTCACTTGATAGCACGAAGCAAGTGCTCGACAGCACGCGCGACCGAGTTTCCTATTGTGACACGGAAAAACGCAGTCCAACCATCGCCAAACGCGAAGAAGCCACCCGGAAAAACCGCAGATAATTCAAAAGGAAAACTACCAACCCCGCAAGCGTACGGGAGCTCCCAACTTCCCACGGAGCCGCACGAGCCTGGCGTCCACTCGACGGTTGCGAGCACGCAAGGATCGCATCGCACTCGCACGTCGACACACGCCACACCAAGGCGAGGAGAGAGGAGCACCGGTAATAGTTACCACCTTGGCCAGCGCCGGGTCGAACACGACGCGGGCGCGGTTCTGAAGCAGCGACACGGCGACGCGCCGCACGCCGCGGCGCGCGGAGACGGCGGCCTCGACGGCGCTGGTGCAGGCGGAGCACGTCATGCCGGTGACGCGCAAGTGCGCCTCCTCCGCCTCGGCGCCCGCTGCAGCCGGCGGCGGCAGCCCCATCTCCTCGTCGTACGAGTCGAGCAGCGCGACATCCTCCATCTCGTCGCCACGCCCGCCCGCCGCCGCCGGCCGGGCGCCGGCGCCGGCGACCGCCGAGAGCTGCAGGTGGGCCATGCCCTTCAGGCGCAGGGGAGGGAGCAGCAGGGGGTGGGAATATTTGGTGGGAGGCGAATTGCGAGGAGGGAGGTGGGGTTAGTTTATATATATATATAAAAACCGGGAAAACAGGCGGCGGTCGTGGGCCAAATCGGGGTGGTTTGCAGAGTACGGGGGTGTTTGTAGATATGTTTATTGGTGGGTTTAGCTGGGAGGCGCAAATTTTCCATTTGAACTCTTCCTTTTTGACTTTTTTCAGATGTCTATACGGGTTAGCTCTTTCGTTTGACTTGGTTTCATGTCTGACGGGCTTGCTGAGTTCCAACGTCAGCATTGCAAAGTACCCCTCCATGTGACCATGTCAATGTAGATTCTAGATACAGTTGCATAATTGCATATGTGATTGTAGCGACTATACCCTCGTTTATTCATTTCTCTCTCTTTTTTTGGAAATAAACAGGGGTTGACAATTTTGAGTTGAGAGGTCCGGGATGTGTTTTTGGGAGACCAGGGGGACAGAGGTGTAAAAGAAAAGCAGCTAAGAATTTCCTGTGGGATGCGGTGGTTAACAAGAAACCTGTGGTGTTGCCGTTGGCGTCTGTGCTGTGCTAATGCTAACGGAACCTGTGCCCTGAGAATCCCACCCGGATGAACTGAAAAGACACGTGTTCCTTCCGACTCGGCGACGCCGCTGCCACGCGGTCCACGCTTTTGCGTGCCCCGGTAGCCCATCTGGCGTCTGCTGCTGCGACACGCACGCATATGGACGCATGCGCATCCTACGTGTCAACGTGTGTGTGTCTGATCAACGCGCGACGCGTCGCAGTAGCTCGAAGGAAACGGAAACGGGCCCGGCGCTAGGTGCTCGGTCGAGCGCGCAACTCCGGGCAGCGAGGGCTCTTGGGAGCCGCCACGGGAACGGGACCGCTAGGACTGGACTGGGTGGGAACTGGGAAGCCAAGGGAGCAGCGCGGCCGGTGAGTTGCCGTTGCTGGACTGGGAAGGAAGGCGCCCGTGCCGTGCCCCTGTCATGCGTCATCGGTGAGGGCGGGTGGTTAGGTTGGTTTGATTTGGTTGGGGTCGGGGCCTTTGGGCGGGCCCGGGGTTGTTGGGGTGGTTTGCAAGCCAAGCGTGGGTGCGTGGGCTGACGAGACACGGCAACCGGCTCCGCAGACGTCCGAGTCCGACGCTGACTCCTCGCCCTCGTCCGTCGCGTTCGCGTCCGCCACAGCGCAAGCTTTTGCTCATCCGACCCGACGACGGCAACAGTGGAGAAGGACCTCCAGATCTCCTACCCCACGGTCGTCGTGGCCAAAATATCCATTTGTCATTAGCTAGCAGCAGCGATCAACGGATTTTATATATATACGTATACTACGTTGTTTTACTAATCTGGCACGCACATACTACAACTAACCTGTCCACTCAAATCGCGGGGTGCAGACAAACAGGCAACCGTCGCATTTTTCCTCGCTACCGCGTCACGCACCAGCATGGACGCAGCATGTGTCACGCATCCTAGCTACCATGACACCAAACCCTACTTGCCGGCCTCAGAAGCCAGCCGATTTCCTGCCCGCGCGATCCGCAGCAAAGGGGCCGCTTCTTTCCGCCCGGTTCGTTCCGCCGACGAGACGAGATCCTCCATGGCGCGCGACGCAGAGGCACGCACCTTTCGCCGCAACCAACAAAATGCAGTCCGCGTCGCGCCGCACCTACTCGCTTCCGTCGCCTCACCGGAGATCGCCTCAGCGCGCACCAGGCCCGGCCCCTCGAAAGCGGATGACGAGATCGATATGGATTCGTGTGGCGTGGCGGGAGACGCTCAAGTGGGCGCTGACATGGATGCAATAATCTCATCGTCGCGTTTGTGCGGAAAATGGTAGTGCAATGGTTAAAGGTCAAATTTGGATCATCTACGGATTATTACAATTTGGATAGTAAATGAAATCACAGGAATCTTAAATTCTCAGTTACAAAAAAGAAGAATCTAAAATTCTGGATAACAATATCGTGGGATGTTAGTGTGCATGTATAATAAACCTGATCGACTGTAGTGCTCAAGGCTTCCCAATGCAAGGACGTGGCGTACTGTACTAGATTCCACGTTGGCGCCAAACATCCACGTCAAATAGACCAGTAGTCCCACAGCGCGCAGAGTAGCCTCTGCAGAAGAAGCAGTGGTCTTGTCAGTCGAAAGGATGGAGCTACTACGAGAGATGTGTTGGGAGTGTGGTCCATGGACAAAAAGTAGAGCAGTGGAAGAGAAAAAGACATGGGAAAACAACGTGATGGGATGGTACAATAAAAAAAAGCAAGGTTGCCTCCTATGGAAGTTTGTTAGCTAGAGAGCACAACTTCCTACGTGTACTGATCCTTTTAGCCCGAGGCCAAGTGCTGCTCCGGTTGGTGGTGCCCTCAGTAGCTATAGTGCTAAAAAAGAAAAAAAACATGCAACCACAACAAATATCACTGTTAGAAAAAAAAAAGACAGCCGAGAAAAGCCATTATCTAGAATGTCCTTACTCTTTACATTTGGATAAAATTGGTGGAGCAAATTCATCATTGGCATCCATTATCTTCTTTTATCAGAGTTGGACAAATTCTCGTACTCCATATATCCTTAATTATAAGTCATTCCAACTTTCTTCCTCCTGAAGATTTATCAAAACATCTCATTTCTCTCTTTGATCACTTTTTTATGTTAAAAGTCATTCTATAGTCAAAACATCTCAATTTTATATGTTAAACTTATGATACCAAATAAGTATGTTAGATTCTTTCTTTAACTATGTTTTTACATTATACATATTTGATATCATAAATCTTTGTAATCCTCTTTGTAATTTTGATCAAACTTGACATGCTTTGACTCTTCCAGAAAATTAGAATGATTTATAATTTAGAATGGATGGACTATTATAGTAAATCTTGATGGGTACATTATAAAATCTATCCAACAAAATACAATCTTTTTAGGTCACATTTGGATGTGTTTTGTAGCTGGAAATCTGTCATCCGAACCCAATCAAACAAGCGCCAACATTTCATTGAACAAGAACAACACGACCTTACTACTACACGCATGAGTCATGAATCATGACTTCGTGGCGTGAAAGACCAGCTCTGGTGGAACAAACATCGGTGCATGGGCCCGCCCGCGCGCTAGAGTCCGTTCTCTGGTGTCATCGCCGGTGGGGTGACGGTGGTGTGTCTGTCCACCTAAAGTTGGTGTGGTGGAGTATCTGTATCTCCAACTTTTCCTAAAGCTGGGAACGATCTTTTTAGCCAATTCAGATTTCAGAGCAACTGATGAGCAAGCAAAGAAAAGAGACGACAGCCGGACCCGGACAGCAGGCCACCCACCGGTCACTTCCACGTTCCAAATGGAGACGCCTTGCTTCCGACGCTGCCCCGCGCGGGAGTGCAGTACAATGCCCTGCCCACCAACAGCGACGCTCTGTACTGCAACTGCAAACGCGTGGAGTCGTCCACGGTGTTTTTGTACTGCATGGAAGGCTGGCCCCTGGCCATTCTCTAGACCAGCCCGCCAGACAGCCGGCGGCTAAGGGCATTGCGTTTTGGTGGTCCGTGACCGTGATAGAAAAAAGGGGCGGCGACTTGAAGCATTCTCGAGTGACCATCATGTCTGTGCTGAGAAACTGGCAACGGCAGAGGGGGCTCCTGGGTCACACGAGATTGTTGGTACACGCATCTCTAGGCATGCCTTTTCGCTGGTCAACTAGGAGCCAGATTGATCTCTTGAAGTAGTAGATTTTTGGAAGAAAAAAAAAGTTGTCATTTGGTTGGGCCATTTTGCATCGCACCTTACAAGTTTTGAAGTAAGGCCAAAGCTGAACCTTCAAAGAGCCTTTTGCAGCTCTGTTCATTCATCTGGCATTCTGCTTTTGTCGGAAGCAGTGACCGCTAGACTCAGTCAGCGTCGGGCGCAGATCCAGAACCTGGAGGCCGAGGTGACCTGGTGGCGTGACGAGGCACGCAATCTCCAGGCGAACGTGGACGGTAATCCTATAGTTTGCCTTGTTGTCCTTTTCCCTAGAACCCATGGTGAGTCCTTTGGCGTGGTTGTCGTGTGACTTGGACATGACTTGACGGCAGGCTCACGGTGGAGGTGACGAAGAGCCGTAGCCTAGAGAAGGAGCTCGGCGAGGTGAAGGCCACCCTCCTAAAGGAGAGCGAAGAGCACGATGCCCTACGCGTCGCCGTCCGGCTGGTCTACAGCGACCTCGAGCTGGCCCTGGCGCAGGAGACGAGCTCGCTCATGGTTCGCGCCGTCTAGATCATGGATCGGGCGCACGACATTGCGAGGGTCGTGCTCCGCTTTGGTGTCAATCGGTCGTTCGCGATCACTCGCTCTCAGTATGAGAACATCGATCTAGCGACGATGAGCCAAGGCTTTGCGCCCGGCTACTCCGATGCCGAGCTGGAGGACATCGAGAAGGAGGTGGCCCCTCCGGCACAAGACTTATCTGTCATGATAGAGGATGAGATCATCCCCCAAAAAATTAGTTAGTTAGATAAACGAAGTGGTGGTCTTGTAATAAATAAACAAGTTTTAGTTCTTTTGTGTTATAAAAAGGTTACTGCATTCCAACCTTTTTCCGTTGTTAAGGCTACAAAGCTTAAGGCGCGGGCGAAAGAACCCTGATCACGCTGGTGAGCAAGAACGTCATAGTCGCTGGGGCGTAGGTTCCTTGCACTACGACCAACTTTACTTAGTGTTTGTTTCCACAGCTCTAGCTTTTAGATCTTAACGTGAGAATGGGTCGGGCACAGTAATTGTTTCTGCATAGGTATGATCTTATCAGCCCCTGAGTGAGGCCTGTCCCAGTGCCGTTGCTGGGGTCGGGTGTCACTAAGGATCAAGGACGAGATAGCGAAAAAGAAAGCATTTTTGTATTTCAAAAACACCGTTCTTAGTTTTCATGGGTACATGCATATGCTAAGGGTAAAAACGACGTAGCTGCTCGATGTTCCGTGCGTTGACGAAGACCTTG